TCCCCTCCCACTGTGGTATTTGTCTACATTAGCAATGTCCACCACTCAGCTTTGATGGGCATATACCCAGTTATTCTCCCTCCACAGCTTCGAAGCTGGGAGGGAGAATCATGGACCAGTAATTTTCAGATGGCAGATGGAGAATTGGTGGTCACCATTAGGACTACATCCATTCTCATCCACAAAGAGCCAGGAATTGGACAGAAGGTGAAATCAAGCGAGACGTGGGCTCCAAAGGCTGTAGAAGAGGCACCATCCAACAGGTTGGGTCGACCTTTTTGGGGGAGGAAAGGGGGTTACACAATTGGGGACGGAGGCCTATGAGGGAGGTGCCGCTTCACCACACCCCTCACCTGAGGCCTGACAGGGCCAACCTGCCAGGCATCTCCCTCAACCCTGGCGACCTCCCAGCAGCCTGAGAATTGCAGCGGACAGGAAGATAGCCTGAAGTAGGCTATTAATTGATCAGTCAAGTGGACCACCCTAAGCCTCACCTGCCTCCGATAAAGTCAGAGCAAGATCCAGCGCACGAGGGTAGATGGTGGGAAGGATACTCAAAAAAAACTTATCGCATTTCCCCCATCCACAAACCAAGTGGATGAGTACAAGGTGCCGCAAAGGTGGCTGCTGAGTAAGATAAGGACCCTTGGTGTTAGAGGCAAGGTGCTAGCATGGATAGAAGATTGGCTGTCTGGCAGAAAGCAGAGAGTGGGGATAAAAGGGTCTTTGTCAGGATGGCAGCTGGTGACAAGTGGTGTTCCACAAGGGTCAGTGCTGAGACCATAACTCTTCACTTTGTACATTAATGATCTAGATGAAGGAACTGTGGGCACTATGGTTAAGTTTACAGACGAATTAAAGATAGATGGAGGGACAGATAGCATTGAGGAGGTGGGGAGGCTGCAGAAGGATTTGGACAGGTTAGGAGAGTGGGCAAAGAAGTGGCAGATGGAGTACAACGTGGGAAAGTGGTCATGCACTTTGGTAAGAAGAACAAAAGCATAGACTATTTTCTAAATGGGGAGAAAATTCAGAAGTCTGAAGTGCAGAGAGACTTGGGAGTTCTAGTCCAGTGTTCTCTCAAGGTAAACTTGCAGGTTGAGTCAGTAGTCAGGAAGGCAAATGCAATGTTGGCATTTATAGAGCATAGAACATAGAACAGTACTGCACAGCAGAGGCCCTTCGGCCCACGATGTTGTGCCGAACTTTTACCCTAATCCTAAGGTCTATCTAACCTCCACCCCTACCTTATACTATCATCCATATGACTATCTAATAGCCACTTAAACGCCCTGAATGCGGCCGATTCCACTACCCTCTCCGGCAATGCATTCCACGCCCCTACCACTCTCTGAGTAAAAAGCCTACGTCTGACGTCTCTCCTATATCTACCTCCACTCACTTTAAAACTATGTCTCCTCATAATAGCTACCTCCACCCTAGGAAAAAGTCTCTGGCTGTCCACTCTATCTATACCTCTGATCATTTTGTACACCTCTATCAAGCCACCTCTCATCCTTCATCGTTCTAAAGAGAAAAGCCCTAGCTCTCTCAACCTTTCCTCATAAGACCTTCCCTCCATTCTAGGCAACATCCTGGTAAATCCCCTCTGCACCTTTTCCAACACTTCCACATCTTTCCTGTAATGAGGCGACCAGAACTAGACGCAATACTCCAGATGTGGCCGAACCAGGCTTTTGTATAGCTGGAGCATAACTTCGCAGCTCTTGAACTCAATCCTTCTATTAATGAAAGCTAACACACCATACGCCTTCTTAGCAACTCTATCCACCTGGGTGGCAGCTTTCAGGGAATTGTGGACATGAACCCCAAGATCCCTCTGCTCCTCCACACTGCCAAGAATCTTTCCATTAACCCTGTATTCTGTCCTTCCAAAAGGAATTTTGAGAGGACTTGAATATAATAGCAGGGATGTACTACTGAGGCTTTTAAGGCTCTGGTCAGGCCAGATTTGGGGTACTGTGTGCAGTTTTGGGCCCCATACCTCAGGAAGGATGTACTGGCTCTGGAGCGGGTTCAGAGGAGGTTCACGAGAATGGTCCCAGGAATGGAAAGCTTAACATATAAGGAACATTTGAGGACTCTGGGACTATACTCATTGGTGTTTAGAAGGATAAGAGGGCAACTAATTGAAACTTACAGAACACTGAATGGCCTGGATAGAGTGGATGTTGGGAAGATGGTTCCATTGGTAGGAGAGACTAGGACCCAAGGGCACAGCCTTAGAATAAAGGGAAGACCTTTTAGAACGGAGATAAGGAGAACCTTCTTCAGCCAGTGAGTGGTGAATCTATGGTATTCAGTGCCACAGAAGGCTGTGGAGGCCAGGTCATTGCGTACATTTAAGACTGAGATAGATAGGTTCTTGATTATCAAGGGAATCAAGGGTTACAGGGAGGAAGCAGGAGAATGGTGTTGAGGAACTTATCAGCCATGATTGAATGGCGGAGCAGACTCAATGGGCTGAATGGCCTAATTTCTGCTTCTATGTCTTACGGCCTTATAATAAAATCTGCCAATTAAACCAGAAAGCCTTGGCAACAGAGGAGGCTATCTGGCCCATCCTGTTTTTACCAGCTCTCTGTGACAGGAACTCAGCTGACACTACTCTCCTGTCTTTTCCCTGTAACACTGCAATTTAGTTTTCCTCTTCAGATAATTATCAAATTCACTTTTGAAAAGCATAATTGATTCTCTCTCCACTACAATTCTGGGCAGTTCGCTGTACAGCCCAACTAGTTATTGTGTACAAAGCATTTTCCTATGCCTCTTTTGAATCATTCGACAATCATCGTAAATCAACGTTTGCTGGTTTTCACCACATCTCCCAGTGGGAAAAGTTTCTCCCTATCCACTCTGTCTATCCCCCTCATGATTTTGAACACCTACTTTGTATTGCACTGTCTGAGAGACAACAACCTAATCTCTCAGGCTGCAGAAAGTCAGTTTGGTAAGTTGTATTGATTAAGTATTTTTCTACAGATTTAAAAAAAGATATGCTGAGTAGTTTTACTTCAATTGATTTCAGACCATTATTAAAAGCTCTATTTACGTTAACATTTACATCAAATTACTTTTTAGGGAGAAGTGAACACATGGTGAGGTACTTGAGACAATGAGCAGAAGTAGATGGACGAAGAAGTATTGAGGCATGAAGAATCACAGAGGCAGCAAAAAAGACTGGAATTTTATATCAATAGTGCTAGACAAATTTTCTATTCAACTTCAACAGGGGTACAAAATATCAACTAGGCATTGAGCACTTGTCATAAACCCTGTCTAATTTTCCTTTCCATTAAAGTTAAAGATGAAGCAGAATAAGTGGATGCTGGATATCTGTATTAAAAAAATACTCCGTGCAGGAGAAAGTCAACAGATCTGGCAGGATCTGTGGAGTGAAAGCAAACTTATTGAAAATCTAGTTTGAATTTTTGGTCTCAGGAAATTAACTAGGTGGAATAACTACAGTCCTTTTTTGCTCAATTGTGAAGTTGAATTTGATCACTCAGAGTCTTTCTTCACTCTAACAGTTCCAGTTTTCACATTTTGAAGCTAATAAACTCCCATCTGTGGCTTTGCTGGCATTTAGATCATAAAAATGCAAATTATTTATCGCAGTGCAACGGTTATTCTATATCTTATCATTTATGAAATGGGTAAGCATTAGAGACAGAGGGCACACTGTGTTTTATTTTCTAAAAAATAAACAAGTGCATTGAATTTTGAGGAAAACATTAGGAAGAGAGGCTTAGAGGAAATGATAAATAAGTTAAAGATGAGTGAGTGTCTGAGAGAGAAGCATAGAGAGGTCAGAGTTTTAATGGGGTTGAGCATTAAAAATAAATTAAAAGTAAAAATAAACCAGTAGTTTGTATTCTACTTCAGACTTGTACCAACTAGTTAACCCTCCTGAATATCTCACTGATGTTTCTACTGGTATAAGATGTATGAAAAAAAAATACATTTCACATTTCTGTTCATGGGTTGCTTTAAGTGAGGCTAAGGTTATTTATAAATTCGATAAGCACATCTTGGCTGGAGTGGGTTATACAGCAAAAAGTACTTAAAAGATTCATTATTTTCAGAGCAACGTTTTGAATGACAGTTACTGCTGATATTACACTTGAATAAGCAGTGATTAATGAGGTATTAAACTGACAAGTTGAGCTGAAGAATAAATGGATTAGTCTTTTGAAGCTGAAAATTTATGGCAGGCAGACTATTTATGTGTATATTGGGCTATAAGAAAATCTCCCTTATTATGATAGAATACTTCTGTAGCAACAAATGAGTTATTCTAATTATAGATCCTGATATATTTATGGAGCATAAGCATTTAATTAAATGTACACAAGTCAATGGAATAGATTACATGAATCTTGTGAGCACTACTGCAGAAGCACCTGAAAATAATGTTAATAATATTTTAAATGCACTATTTATAAGAACATTTTTTATTGCAACTTCAGCTCTTGTAGCTGACTCCACTTTGGAAACAGCTAATTGTAAATGGGACATTTAAAGAGGAGGTAGAAAATAGTCCGCTATAACAGGTATTGGACGTGCAAGCTGCTTAAGAAAAAGGGATTTACTTTATTGCTTTTGAAAGTATAAAATTCTTTTTTGAGTGGCATCATTCAAAGGGATTAAGAGCAATTGGGTAACGTTATCCATGGGTCTCCTGTTATTCTACATCAAGAACAAAAATGTAAATTATGTTTTTTTTAATCAATAAAGTTATGAGTCATCTCTGGATTACGTGAATTATGATGGAGAATGGTTCTCATCGCCACAGAAGTACTTTGAATCTTGTTTCCTGATCACTTGTATCATCCTCCATTCCATTATTGAATTAACCTCGCCAGGATTAGAACATGCTTTATCTTTCTGTCTTGTACATGCAAACTCATAAACACAGGCATAATATTTTTTTTAAGTACAAAGAAATTGTTGCTTCCATGAGAAACTATGTGTTTTACCTGCTTGATCTTTAAAGATTTTTGATATAACAACTGGTACACCGTGTTCAGCACCTCCCTAAAAGAAACGGTCACAAAGTGAACAATGAGAAGCCATTGTGCACATTTCCACAGAATGCTATTCTTGTAAAATAAAGGTAGAGGACAGACAGAATGCCACTCACCTTAATACTTAAACCCATTCCACCAACAGGCTGTCTGCGAAGTGTAACAGTTCTGTGCTTTAAAAAAATCATACAAAAGTTAAATTTAGTAGCAATTCACGAAGAGACAGAGAATCTGAAATTGGCCTTTGTCTGCACAATGAAAAAGACTGGCCACTACTCAGTTGCTGACTTTTCACCTGGACTAATCCTTCCCACTGAAATACACTCGATCCTTTAAACTCTTCTGGAAGCCTATTTCCTAGTCTCACTGTCACTTCTCTTTGATTTGAAGTTAAAAAATCGATGCAAACTAAAAATTGATGTGATTGAACTATTGGTTGCCAATTTACTAACAGCCCAATTAATATGATTGGCACAGATTAGTTTCAACCCCAGTATATGACACATTCTGCTTTTATTCCTTACTAAGCCGCACATTAGAAATGGTACAAATAATACACTTCTTGAATAGCTTTGTGAATGGAATCTTTAATCCAAGCAGGATCAGGAAAGGAAGTTCTGAAAAAGGATCCCAACCCAAAACTTCAGCTTTCCTGCTCCTCTGATGCTGTCTGGCCTGCTGTGTTCCTCCAGCTCCACACTGTGTTATTTCTGACTCCAGCATCGACAGTTCTTACCACTTCTAAGTAAGTAAACCCTGTTGTCTTGAGCAAAATATGCAAAGATCCAAATGCACTTTTCCATGGTGGACAGTTTCTGGACTTCCTTCTGTATTTGTGAAGCCTTCCCAACTTTTATTTTTATATTTTGGAGTGCAATGTGGCTACCTACTGAGGCTTCTAGTGCCATAAGCAGAGAATTACAGAAAAGTACATTTGTTTCAAAATGCTGCATGGTTTCACACCTGTCTGTGGAGATATTCTTTCTTTATCCCTGAGAACAAGGTAATAGTGTCCTGAAATTCACAGAGAAAAACTCATTGTTTTGTTCCGGCTCCAACTAATTCTGAACTGGAAGGGAAGACAGATGTCCCACCTATTTTGGGCACTTGGTTATTTTAGAACCAGAGAAGGAAAAACAACAAAGGCAAACAAAAAATAATGAACGAGACATCAGGTAAATTTCCATTTGAGCTGTTATCCTCCTTTTAATAAGCTTTCACAATAATGACACTTTAATAAAACTGTATCAAATTCAACAGCAATATTATCGACATTTATTAAACTCATAAAAAGCAACACAATATGATAACTTGACGAAGATCAAAGATTAAATTACCTTGTGTAAGGAATAAAATGCAATACATATTATGCTTTTTGAAACAAAACAGTGAAAGCAAAGAAAATTCTTAATAGGAAGCTTGGCTACAAATCTTTGATACAGACATTGTTTAATCTATGTTGCCTCTTAGTACTGTCCTCTGGCTGATTTAGACACAACATCATTGGTAAAATAATTGCTGCAGTAAAACGTAATCAGTTCCAAAAAAATGAAAGAATGACAGCTATTCAACCTGATTCAACACACTCGCAAAAAATGCTGTTAATTTGAAAAGGTGAAATCCAGAAACATTAAATGGGCATGTTGCAACAATGTATTAATCAATCTCATTCATGTTTTATTCATTCCCACACCGGAATGGCACTGGTAAGCAAAGTACCATTGTGTATGCTGCATCTACACTTTTACAGTCCTCATGTATTTAAGTCTAGTCACATCAAGACAGTGTACTGATTATTCATGTCAGAATACAAGAATGAGAAATACTGCGTCTCCTATATCTGCAGCACTTGTTCCATACATGGAACTTTTCTATCTCTCAGAAAAACTTGTTTTTTTTAAATCAGTTACTCAAACCATAAATGTACAAAAATCTGGATATTCCATGAGACTGGAACCTGCCTAATTTTGGGCCTTGTAAATTGTGGAGTTAATATGCTATAGTTATTTTCAGTTTATGCATTTTGTTGAGTGAGATTCATCATACCTGGTCCACCATTACTCAGAGTGACTTTTCTCATGTAAACTTTTGGGCTTCGCCTTGTCAATCGTACAATCAGCTCTTGGATGTCCTTCTCAGAGAATTGTGTGGTCAAAGAGCCAATAGTGTTAACCTCTGCCTGGCTTCCATTTTCAAAATCCAGCTGCAAACCACTTCAGACACTGGAACTAAGGACTGACCCTCAGACCATGGTGCTCAACCTCTACTATTCAATGATGGTCAAGGGGAAAGGCAAACTTGCTTTCTGTTTGTTGGATAGGGACGTGGAGGTATTGATGGTAGTGAAAAGGAATGCAGAGCTTTGTTCAGGTAACCACTACGAGAGGCCATGTTATCCAACCCAGTCAGCCTGGACACAAATGGTAGCTCAGGTCAGTGCTACACCCTGAGTAACGTGGGATGCCCAGCCCTATAGGAAGGTGATTATCTATTCTTTGCACTCCATAAGACTAAATTTCAACATCTCTCTGCTATCTCCCACTCACAGGACCACAACTCACTCTAATTCTGCCGGTACATACACATCTCAGCAAGGCTCACAGACTCCAACTTTCATTATTGCAGGCATCATGTTCACTCAATGGCTTTCACCCTCCCAAAATCGTCTACTTTCCTCTGCCCTCTATTCACTCAATAGGGACACCTCACCAACGCTCTCGTTCATGTATCACCATAACCGCTCTTGCATTCACTTCCAAAAAAGTCAATCCCTCCCTTTGCGTCATTGTCGGAAAAATAACATCCCTCCTGCCCTCACCCCCCCTGCTATGATGACCACCTAGAATGATGTTTCAACAAGAGACCTACTATTAATCCCCTGGCCTGGGAGCACTTGACATGCAGCACTGACAGGGACACAATTACAGGATTTCAAGTATGGAGTGCTTAAATCCCAGGGAATGTCGGATGCTGGTCAGTTCAGGCACTTAATTTGGTTGAATTTCTCCCATGGGCATGGTTTCAACCATCAATAAGGTCAGCATCACTAGATCCATTTCTTCTCTGCTTGCTGATCTAAATTGATTCCCCATTGCTCAAAATCTTTCATATAAAATTTAATACTTTGGAAATTTATCAGAACTTTTGGGCATCCCAATGATTATACAGTAAACACAGGAATTCTTCCTTCAGCACATTGTTGCTGCATCATAATTATTTTCATAGCCAAGAGCGGTAGACTGATAATTTAACAAAATCTTGAAAGAAAAGGCCATAAGCAGCAGTCCTTAACCTGTGGAAGGATAGTATGAAATTTAGAACTTCATCATCCAGTTGCACGCTCTGGCCCAGGTCCAACAGCACAGCTCCTCCCCCAGAAAAGTATTAATAGAAATAAATACAGTCAGCATGTTCAAATTAATAATAAATGTAGCAGAAATTTAACTGCTGACTTGACTTGAGTGTGAATGTCATATCAGTTTGACTATGCAAGTTAAAGATATTTCACTTTTGTAATCAGTATCTGATAATATTATAAGTAATTAATCAATTTGATTGACATAGTTCCAGACACACAAGGTGGTCTTTCATGGTCTCACATATCCCCATTGGAAACAGACTAGGAGGCAGGAGTTTGCCCTGTAAGGGGTAAGATGGAGAAATTATCATTTCATCAACCACACCTCTCCCCTTTGAAATAATTCAAGGACAGCCTTCCCGCTTTGAGACCAGCCCAGGTCTTCAAGTCGCCCATTGAGAACAACTCAAGCGCCTTATTCTGCTGTCACTAATATTCTATCAGCAATGGAAAAGTAGGCAGGGGTCATGCCATGTGGGCAAACCATCTAGTGTGCCCTTGTTGACCCACTTGGCAAAGGCGACAATCACTCACTTACTCATGCATCCTGTGCCCAATGGAATTAAGGTCCCACCAATGGCAAGTGCCATCCCCATCCTGCCCTCTAAGCTGACCCTCTGCTGCCACAATACCTGCCTAACTATTCTCAGTGGAACATCTGGGTCTGAAGACATGTCAGTTCCGCGACACAAAATGGTTATCCCAGACGTCCAAAGACAGGCAGCAGGCTGCCCAATTGGATTTAAAGTGCACCAGGCAGCTTGCAAACAGCTGCAAGACAGGAACAAAAACAAAGTTGCTGGAAAAGCTCAGCAGGTTTGGCAGCATCTGTGAAGGAAAAAACAGAGTTAACGTTTAGGGTTCTGAGTTCTGAGGAAGGGTCACTGGACCCAAAATGTTAACTCTATGTTTTCCTTCACAGATGCTGCCAGACCTGATGAAGGGTCTAGGCTGGAAACATCAGCCTTCCTGCTCCTATGATGCTGCTTGGCCTGCTTTGTTCATCCACCTCTACACCCTGTTATCTCAGATTCTCCGGCATCTGCAGTTCCTACTATCTCTGTTACAATTTTAACCCCACTGCGAAGCCTCTTCTGAGGATGCCTAGCCTGAAGAAGTTACCCTCCTCCCTCCGGACAAACCTCAGGGGATCTCTCTCCTGCTGCAACTCTCTCATTTCTGATGAAGGGTCTAGGCCCGAAACGTCAGCCTTCCTGCTCCTATGATGCTGCTTGGCCTGCTGTGTTCATCCAGCTCTACACCTTGCTGCTGGACCTGCTGAGCATTTCCAGCAACTTTGCTTTTGTTCCTGATTTACAGCATCTGCAGTTAGTTTCGTTTTTATTTTAGCTAAAAGAAAGTAGCTGCCATGTAGCTGATTGTCTAAATCTACCTGACATTAATGCTTCAGGAAGGAAACAGCTGGAAGGAAGCAGTGCCAGGGAAGATTTTCTCCAACTCTTCCTGCTGGAGGTGGTGAGGGTTAGCAAAGAAACATTATTTCCAGAGATGGGAAGAAGCTGGGAGAGAAACAAAACATTAATACAGTAAAGTCCCCATTATCCTGCCTTGATCACACATAATTCTCATGTAACTGGCATCCGAGATTCAGAAAGGGAATTCCCAGATCTTTGGGATCCTGCTAACAGGAACTTAGCAATGGAAGGGTATAAGGGTTCAGATGCTTTATGAAAGCTAGTTCAAGACTTACCTTATCACTAAAGACACAAATACCTATTGCGGCCAGGTATACTGATATTTGTGAGCAGTCCTATCCACTCATTTTTAAACTGCACGTTCATCTTATGGCAACAA